GTATCGGTGTGACTAATACTAATTGAATCATAAAACTTTTTTATTTTTGACTTTTTTTTAATGAAATTTGTATTAGCGCATTGGTGAGGTTTTTGTGATTAAAGTGGTACCAAACACGATATAGTTTGAATTATAATTACTTGCTAAAATTGATGTTAAAAGTGGCGAAAAGCAAAGGACGATTGGAAATAAAAACCGGTTGCGGTGTCGGCTCGGGTTTCAAACGTTGCATATATCCAGCCGAGGTGTCGATTCTGGGCATTTAAACGTTGCATATATCCAGCCGAGGTGTCGATTCTGGGCATTTAATGTTTCATATATCCAGCCGAGGTGTCGATTCTGGGCATTTAAACGTTGCATATATCCAGCCGAGGTGTCGATTCTGGGCATTTAATGTTTCATATATCCAGCCGAGGTGTCGATTCTGGTCATTTAAACGTTGTATATATCCAGTCTTGGTACCGATTCTGTGTCCGTACAAATCGTTTGTACCGTGCCGCGTTACCTATTCTACGTTCGTACAAATCGTTTGTACCGTGCCGCGATACCTATTCTACGTTCGTACACAACATGCAACGTGTTGCATGTTGCATGTTGCGTGTTTGATGTATCTGTAGTGTACGGCCTGCCTTATACATATGTACAATTTTATTATTATTTTAATAAATAAATATAATTCAAATCATATCGTGTTTGGTAACATCTTAATCAAAAAAATCTCACAAATGCGTTAGTAAAAGTTTCATTAAGAAAAAGTTAAAAATAAAAAAGTTTTATCGTTCAATTAGTATTAGTCACACCGATATTACGGTCGGATCATATTACACGGTTTCTTCGTCGAGCGGTTCGGTTCGGCTTAGGGGGATCCCCCCAAGTGGAGGGGATAGCGATGTTGCATATATCCAGCCAAACTTCTGTTGCATATATCCAGCTTTTACTGTATACATATGTATATTCCATCCTTCTTCTACTAACCGATGTCACTGCTCAGCCGAGCGTGACAATTTATTACCCTAAACATCGGCTTCGCGCTTTCATGGACCTCTCACTCATTTCTCGTATCTCTCACTTTGCGGCCGACTTCAAACAAAGAAGAGGGAATAGCGAGTTGCTTATTTCGAAGCAGAGACCACTTGCTACTTTTGAAGCAATACTGTATACAGTATAGACTCGTTATAAGCTAAAAAGATCTGTACGATATTTGCAAAGAAACCATCCCCACCACTGGGGGGTATACCCCACGAGACGTCGCGAAGCTCGCTCGCCGAGTAGCGTAACATGATCTTGGATCAGATATCGGTGAGGCAACACTAATGCAACAACCTAACTTTGCTATTTTTCATTTTTTTTTTATAAAACTTTTTCCATGATATTTCTGACATTTTTCTAATTAAAATGATACCAAACACGATATAATTCGGACCATATTTACCGTGTAAACTAGTTACAACCAAACGCACGGGACCGGACTTTTGCCTATAACGTGTAGTTCCACTATTGTTTGATGTTAGCCGACTGCTTCGAACGTAGAAAAGGACCTTGAGTGCAAAAGAGGACGGAGCGAAAACAAACCGTTCTATGTCGATGAGGCAACTTAACTTTGTTATTTTTCATTTTTTTTTTTATAAAACTTTTCATGATATTTCTGACATTTTTGTAATTAAAATGATACCAAACACGATATAATTCGGACCATATTTACCGTGTATATTTGTTCGGGCCGATGCAAAACACAATGTGCGAGGATTTCGAAAGACAGTTCCGTGCGTTTGGTTGTAACTAGTTTACACGGTAAATATGGTCCGAATTATATCGTGTTTGGTATCATTTTAATTACAAAAATGTCAGAAATATCATGGAAAAAGTTTTATAGAAAAAAAATGATAAATAACAAATTTACGTTGTTGCATTAGTGTTGCCTCGCTGGCATAGAACGGTTTGTTTTCGCTCCGTCCTCTTTTTCACTCGCTGTCCGTTTCTACGTTCGAAGCAGTCGGCAAATATCAAACAATGGTGGAACTATACGTTATAAGCAAAAGTCCGGTCCCGAGCGTTTTGCTTATAACGAGTCTATACTGTAATTATAAGATGCATTGGTTTATTGTCCGCTGTGCACTATTCCTTATTCTCGGTCACCCTGACATGTTTCAGGGATTTCTTTCTCCTTCCAATTGTGTGTTCATGTTTCATGTTTCTTTAAGATTGTTCACTGCTCATTTAATTGTAGCTCTTTGCACCCCTACAGGATAACGTTTTACATATTATGGCTGACGTGATTCTAATGTAGCTTTGATGGTTAGCGGATCAGTGAATTTATGGTGATTTACGGTACTTTATGTAAAATTTTTATGTACCTTAGCTCATTCCATCTTAATTACAATTTTGATTTTGTTCGAGCGTCGAACGATTGCGCTAGAAATTTCTAGATACTAGATCGCTTCCTTCGTCTCAGCTATTTGTTCCGCCGGCCTCCAGCGATCTCACTCGCTCCGTTGGCCGACGTAGTGAGTTGAGTAGGCTGGTAGGCCGGCGGGCGACGACAGGGGCGAGGGAACCATAATATAAATATGCCGCCGCATACTTGCGAATAGCTTCTCCTTCTTATACGTCTTAGCGTACTAGTTCTTCTACTATCGAACAAGTTGCTTCGGATCGCAAGAACTGTCAAACATTTTCTTTTCCTTAACCTTTATTCATATACAATTCTCCGAATCAAAAGTTTTTCTTCGTCACAATTCGCACCTTTTTCTATACGCGCTCCGCAAACTAGAAGTCTATCGGTTCGGCAAGGTCGCGCACCGGCAAAAAATCGCTTCCGAATGCGTTCTCTAATCCCTTTTCCGGTTAAGGGGCGAAAACGATCAAACAATTTTGATTTTGATTTGGTAAGTCTAGGTTCAATAACCGTTTAATATAGAGGGTGTTCAGGGAAGCATACGTTGCGGTTGTGCTTCTGGCATGATGCAATGTCTTTATTGCTTTATATATATATCATTGCTGCTTTATATACATACATCATTGTTTCTTAAGTTACCTGATTCCCGTGGTCCGCTGATCTGACTAGGTTTTTTTATTCCTTCCCTACAACAATGTTTTGTTTGGTTTTATTACTCATATGTCTTTTTCTATTAAATAGGATTAAAGGGGGTTTAATGGAATTGTATCATTTAATTGACTATAATATAAGGAGTTTAATTAATTATCTACATAAGTATACTTTATTAATTTAACTATATTTGATGTGTTTCTCATTACATATTATATATATATGTTCATAGTAATTATTGATCTATTTTACCTCATTTGGAGATTAGTTTTCATTTACTTCTGTTTATTGTGGTTCTGTAATAAAACGGTGGTACGTGGTTATTTAATGATATTCATGGTCGAGAAGTAGATAATTATACTACTGGTAATCGGACCCTAGAATACAGAAACGCGGAAATTGATGAACTTGTGGACAGCACGCTGCAGCGAAGAAAACCGCAGAAAGCAGGCACTTCCGCCCATCCAAAGATGGATTATGATGAGAAGAGATTAAAATTAGAGCGAATCAGACGAACAATGAAAAATGAAGAAGAATTGGCGGACTTCAAACTGCGGCACGAGGAACGTAAAAACCAACTGGAAATGGAATTTTTAAAAACCAAATATGATTTCGAGATCCGTGCCGCAGCCGCCGCAGCAGCAGAGAAAGCTGAATTTGAATTAAAAGAATTGAAAGGTAATAAACATTAAGAACAATCTTTTTAATAATTTATGTATATAAAATTTTCTAATTTTCTAATACGTTTTAATTTCAGCCTCCTCGCATCATAATCCATCTTTGGAGCGGCGGAAGTGATTGGTCTTCGACGCTGCGATCCACGATTTCATCAATTTCATCCTTTTGGCATTCTGAGGAACGATTAGCAATATCACAATGACCTTCTTCATGGCCCTCATCATTAATTTCCGTTGTAATGTAACTAATTTCTTGACTGGTGTTTATACTAATAGGATTATCATCCACTTCGATATCGTCCAAAACATATTCTTCATGGAATATGGCATCACGTTTGTTCGCCAACTCTTCCTCTGTGTAATTGGAGGATATAACGCATTCTGCATTAACGACGCCACAATCTCCGCTATTTGTGGGTTTATTTCTGCCAATTGGGATTGTCTTTTTTTCATAATTGCGCGTCGTTGAGCAGACTTCATGTTACTCCACATCTTTTTCAGTTTATAATCATCATTATAATTACACTGTCCAAAAAATTTAAACTTTTTCTCTGTTTTCTAATAGCCACTGGGTGATCGTTGTAGAGCTTCTCGTTCTGAATACGAATCCGAAAACCGAATTGCTCTATCACCCTCAGTTTTCGAAAAACACGAGTTTTTGTAAAAACATGTATTTTGGGGGGAAAATGACCTATTACGCGGAAACTAAAAGCGCTAAAACATTCGCATTGGTCTCATAAGATAGAGGAGAGTTTCCCGAATACATTCATATATATAGTTATTATATTACATGGTTCTGAATAGATGTAAATGTTGATGAAAGTTTAAAAAATAGCCGGCGCACGTATTTCCTACGTATTACTTTTGTATTTTTAAGAAAAGTTTTCTATCTAGCGCGAATTCTCTATACAGTACCGAATTCTGTAGACATTTCCGAAGAAGAAACTATATGGGGTAAGTATTGAAGCAGTATGCACCTCGAGTAAATCGAAAAAATATCTGCCGGTGACGCGTGCACGGCGCGGCGTTTTGCCGCCAGGTGGCCATAGCTCGCTCTTTTCGCCTAGTCAGTGCCGTAGCTACGCGTAATCAACACTAATGGTGGGGTTTAATATACATTCACCTTTTATATCTATAATGTTTGATTTTTTTTTTGCTATTATTATTATTTCATAATTATTATTTCTCTTTTGTTGTTATTCATCATTATTGTTAGATACCAACAATAAAATGATAAAATACTTTAATTTAAAATTTTAAAATCGATTGACGAGCATTACGACTTTATCAATCGACAGTCGATTGAAGACAATTTTGAAATTTGTTTATGATATAGAAAGAATAAAATGTATAAGATAAAGAATTACCTGCAGTAAACGAACTTAAAAATGTTTTCGTCTTGCTTGACGTTTGTACGTTACATCTTTGTTGTCCTTCATCAAAATCCAGCAATAATCTGCCAACATTGCACATGATTTTTTTCCTTGGTACCGTTTTTCCGTCCTAAAAATGTCTTGGTGGAAACGTTCTCCGTGTTCGTCACTCACATCACCGAGATTTGGCGGAAAGAAGTCTAAGTGAGAATCTAGGAAGTGAATCTTCAAAGACATATTGCATCCGAGTTCTTTACATGCTTTCAGGAGTTTATTGACTATGGAAATATAATTTCTTGCTCTGTGGTTTCCGAGAAAATTATGTATTGTTTTCTTGAATGCAAGCCACACTGCTTTTTCCAAATTATTCAGTTTTAATGTGAAATTTTTATCATTCATCAGATTTCTAATTTGAGGGCCAACGAATATTCCTTCTTTTATTTTTGCGTCGGATATTGATGGGAATTTTGTTTTTAAATATTCAAATCCTGGTCCTGATTTATCCATTGCCTTAACAAAATTTTTCATTATCCCTAATTTTATGTGTAGCGATGGTAAATAAACATTTTGAGGATCGATAAGATTTGTATGTTTTATATTTTTCTCACCAGGGATTAATTGTTGCCGCGGTGTCCAGTCTTTTTTTATATAATGCTGCTCCCTTGCTCTGCTGTCCCACTCACAAAGGAAACAGCAATATTTTGTATAGCCTGATTGTAGTCCGAGTAATATGCCAATCACTTTTAAATCTCCACATACTTTCCAATTATATTTATTATATTGAATCTTGAGTAAAAGTGTTTTGAAGGTGTCATAAGATTCTGTCATTTTTGCAGTATATGCGATTGGAATGGAAGGATATATATTGCCAATGTGTAGTAAAACTGCTTTTAAGCTAAGTTTTGACGAATCTATAAAGAGTCGCCATTCTTTCGGATCATGCTCGAAACCCAAAGTATGTAATAATGAGTCAATATCGGCGCAGACGTGAAGTTCCTCGTGTGTTGTGAAATATTCTAATAACGCATGATTTCGAGTTCTGAAATGTGTCACTTTTGTTGCGTTCTCGAGTAAGTTCCACTGTTTTAATCGTGATCCTAAAAGTTCTGCCTGTTCTTTCGATAACTGCAAATCTCGTACGAGATCGTTAAGATCAGATTGCGATAAAAGATGTGGCCCCAGGGGGGAGGGAGTTCTTCTGTCATTTTCTTCCGTTTCAACGTTTTCTATTTCTGTTTGGTCTTCATATAGATTTGGTTTATTTGATGGTGGTGTTGGTATGGGTAATTCTTCGGAATGTGCAACGGGACGAATAGCAGTAGGTAAATTTGGGTACTCTATCTTTTTTTCCCTTTCTTGTTAATGCCGGAAATTTTGCATAAACAAAAATAACAATCTATGGCATGATTTGTCGGTTCCCTCCATATCATGGGAATCGCAAATGGCATGGCTTTTCGTGTACCTCTTAACCAAGCTAAAAGAACTGTGGCACAGCGTTGGCAACAAACATGTGGAGCCCACTGTTTATCCTGGTCACTGATTTTGCATCCAAAATAATGTTCGTATGCAAACCTTATTAAAGGTGTTATACTTCGGCACTCAGAGTTTAAAACTACCTCCCCACAAATATAACAAAAAGAGTGGTGGATTTCTACACATTCGCGACATTGTTAAGTACTATAAAATGTATATTACACAACACTAAGTACTATGCACTATTATAAATTACAAAACACTACACTATAACAACACATAAAATACGCTATATACTACATATAATAAGTCATAAAATATGCACTAGAGTGTCGAAAAACTATGTACTAAAGTAACTTATAAAATGTTATGCACTAAAGTGTCAAAATACTATGAACTATAATAACTTATAAAATGTTAAACACTATACCAACACACGTTTTTACTCTATACGACGGAAGACTTTTTGAATTGCTTAGGACGACTGACTCGGACAATTTTCAAAACGAAACTAAATTCAGACTTCAATAGTGCATAGCAAGCCAGAGAATTTCAAGATATTTATTGTTTCTTTGATTGTATCGAGTGTTCGAAACAAACGACAAGTGGTGCTTATATTTAGAAAGAGCGCTACATTGTATTACATTTTCATTTCGAAAAGGCTTTCAATAGTATACTGAATTTCCAAGAAACCTTCTTATAATTTTCTTGAAAATCATAGCGTAGAAAATTATATTTCCATGATAAATAAACTTCCATATTTTTAAATTCGTTTACTGCAGGTAATTCTTTATCTTATACATTTTATTCTTTCTATATCATAAACAAATTTCAAAATTGTCTTCAATCGACTGTCGATTGATAAAGTCGTAATGCTCGTCAATCGATTTTAAAATTTTAAATTAAAGTATTTTATCATTTTATTGTTGGTATCTAACAATAATGATGAATAACAACAAAAGAGAAATAATAATTATGAAATAATAATAATAGCAAAAAAAAATCAAACATTATAGATATAAAAAGTGAATGTATATTAAACCCCACCATTAGTGTTGATTACGCGTAGCTACGGCACTGACTAGGCGAAGAGAGCGAGCTATGGCCGCCTGGCGGCAAAACGCCGCGCCGTGCACGCGTCACCGGCAGATATTTTTTCGATTTACTCGAGGTGCATACTGCTTCAATACTTACCCCATATAGTTTCTTCTTCGGAAATGTCTACAGAATTCGGTACTGTATAGAGAATTCGCGCTAGATAGAAAACTTTTCTTAAAAATACAAAAGTAATACGTAGGAAATACGTGCGCCGGCTATTTTTTAAACTTTCATCAACATTTACATCTATTCAGAACCATGTAATATAATAACTATATATATGAATGTATTCGGGAAACTCTCCTCTATCTTATGAGACCAATGCGAATGTTTTAGCGCTTTTAGTTTCCGCGTAATAGGTCATTTTCCCCCCAAAATACATGTTTTTACAAAAACTCGTGTTTTTCGAAAACTGAGGGTGATAGAGCAATTCGGTTTTCGGATTCGTATTCAGAACGAGAAGCTCTACAACGATCACCCAGTGGCTATTGGAAAACAAAATTCGTGTTGTACAGTGTTATTTATGTTTTATTATTATGAATTGAATAAAAAAAGAATTTATAATAACAAATTACTGCTTTATTTTTCCACATCCCATCTCCGTACCGATTCAAAATGTATCGTCGAAATCTCTCTAACATGGAGAAATCACATGGTTCAAGGTATAGGTTGTGATAGGACTGAGGATGAGGGTATTTTAATAAATAAATTAAATCAATTTGAGCCGAAAGAATAACAATTATTTATTGGCTCGATAGACACAATAAGGGGAAAAAGCCTTGCGGCATAAAAAACCCCTTATTACATTACATTGCAACTATTTAATGAAACATACGGGCAATAAGTGCTTCACGTGTAGCAAATCCTTCAACGCCATTATCATTTTCCATGTTTCCCAATAATGCTTCTCCATCTTCATTTTGGATTTCAATTTCATCTTCTTCAACAAGATTGTCATTGAAAATTAGGGATAAATTATGCAACACGACACATGCAACTACCGTTGTTGTGGAACAGCTTCATTGTTAGACCCCTTGACAGACATGGAAAACGGCGCTTCCAAACACCGAACGTTCTCTCTACTATTTGTCGGGTCCTGATCTGGATTTCATTGTACCTGTGTCGATCAAACAATTTAATATTATTTTGTGCATCAATCAGTCGAGTAAACAAGTAAATAAACAAGTACAACAGTATCAGTATTACCTTATTTCTTCTTCAGTCTGTGGATTCCGCAGGGGTGTCATGAGAAAAGGCAGACATGGATATCCACCATCCCCGACAAGGATTCCATCTAATTCTCCCGTCACATATCGCATGTGTAATCGGGATGTACGAAAAATTCTGCTATCATGAGCACTGCCAGGCCACTCTGGTACGATATCCAAAAATTCCATACGAGGACCTACGACAGCCTGCATTTATATTAATATGGTTCATTTCAATGAATATTACATTGATCTGTGGGGAGGGATCGGTATATTACATTATATCCAATGTAGATATAGTAATAATGATATTGTTACTAAATGTGCATTGATCTGTGGCAAGGACTAAGTATACTACATTATATCAAATGTAGGTGTAGTAATAATGATACAGTTATTAAATGTATATTACATATCTAATGTAGATATAGTAATAATTGTGGGGAAGGCACTAAATTTATTACCCTTTTTTAATATGAAAATAGGTGTATTAGCTAACACAATTCTTTCATAAGTTTTCTTATGACGCAATACATCTCACGACACACTCACGCATCTCTCAATCAATCCTGCCAAAACACTCACTCCTGCCAACCACTCACTTCTGCCAATCACTCATTCCTGCCAATCATCCATTACCAACCCAATCATTCTTCTCTCATTCAAACATAAAAACAAACCTCACAATAATGATACTGTTATTAAATGTACATTGTTCTGTGGGAAGGAATGAGTATATTACATTATGTCAACTGTTGATGTAGTAATAATGATATTGTCATGAAATGTACATTGATCTGACGGAAGGAATCTGTATATTACATTCTATCTAATGTAGAGATAGTAATAATGACATTGTTATTAAATGTACATTGATGTGTGGGAAGAATATTACATTACACCTTATGTAGATATAGTAATAATGGTACTGGTATTAAATGTACATTAATCTGTGGGAAGGAATCAGTAGACTACTGCAAAGTCGCGAGTACTCTCTCTCACTGAGTCCTCGGCGTACTTTATGTATTTTAATGTCAGTTGTTAGTTAGATAGTAATTCTCACTTACCTTTTGCTTGGCGAGTAGAACCTATCTGTGAATAGAACCTGTAGTGGTGACTCGTCCAGGTGTTGGAACGGTAGGGTAGATGGTTGCGTGAGTGTCACGCACTTCCGATCACAAGTATGTTTATTCGTTACGGGTTCAATCTTTCGATTCGCGAGCGTTTTACAATTGAAGTTTTATAGAACCTTGCTCTGTCGACGCACTGAGCTTCGTAGCAGAGTCGTGTAGATTCTTGAGTATCGAACTCTGAGCGGTACTTCGCGGATTATCTTCGCGGGTTTCTGTACGGGTATTAGAATTGAATCCCGAATTGCGCGTGGCGCGGATTATTACTCAGACTGTTATTTACGAGTTGGCGAACTAGACGGACTGGTCGAATTGAACGACTTGGACAAATTATTATTACTGCATGTAACTAATTGCTTGAATTGATCTGATCTGGTCGCGACTATTTCAGAATCTGTACTATGCGTGGGCGGGTTCGGTCGCGTTATTTTATATTGATGAGCGAGGTCAACGTTTGGTTTGTCAATTCGGGTGAGCCACCTTCGTTCGGGTCGTTAGCATTCTCGCTATACTCAGAATTTGCGGAACGATGAATTTGGATGGCGAAATAGAAGTTTCAAGATTTCGTCACAGGGCGTGACACCTGGCCGCCTAGATTGTTGCATATCGGTACGATATCAATAAATAAGTTTGTAAAAAAAAACTTTTTCCTTGAGCAATTGTATTATCCAAATTCATAGTTTGTGTTTTTATGAGTTAGGTGAATTTTACAATTTTGAGATGAGTGTAATTACAATATTTGTTAGTTGGCGTGAATTTGTTGCGCTGGGTAATTTTTTTGCTAGTACTTCTTTGTACTCTGCAAATCGGTGTATTATAAAGAGTAAATGGTTTTTGGGTGACCATTTACTTCCCTCCCCGCTGAGATTGAGTGGTCGGGGTGTTTACCTGAATTATAGCGTGTGTGTTGGATATTATTGTAGACTGACACTTCTGGGCTTTTATTATTAAATTTTTAAATTTGAATCTTTTAGAATGAAACTGGTATTTGCTAGATCTTCTATTGCTGGAGGTATGCGCTGAGACGGCGGATTTCTCGGATGCGCTATGCGCTGGTTCTGAGTATTGTCAGGTGCTCTGTGTCTTGTGGTTTCTCAGACTTCTGTGCGCTTGGCGGGGTGTTTGATATATAAATTTTCCCCATTTTTTGAATAAATTTTCTTTATTTTGAATTTCCGTGTGTTTATTTACGCGTATTCCTTGCGTTCCTTCCGGAATTCCGTATATTTAGTTTAGTTCTTCTAGTGTGAAGACTTGTATCTGTTTCTGCGTTATTGGTTGTGGTACAGGTGGTTTAATTGCAGGTGGTCGTAGTGGGACGGGTGGTAATGTTCTCCATTTTAAGCTGTTTGGTCGTTCTATTTTTATTTCATTCAATTCGATGTCTTCATTTCTCGTTAGATGTCCTTTTTTTAGAAGCTTTTTGATATTCTTGTTGTTTTTTAATGTCACCAGTAGGTATGTGATTGAGCTGAAGATGGCTCCCAATAACTGTATGGACCATCCGTATAGTGTGTGTAGCGTATATCCTCTTATAATTGTGTCGATTATTAATTTGTAGATGTGAATGATTATTAGAATTATTATTACTGCTGAGCTAATTGAACCAAATTTGATGAATTTTTCCACAAATTTATTCCACGTATTTTCCGCGATGTGGGATAGCCTGTTTTCCGTAAAAAGATTGTTGATTAGTGCTCCTTGTACATTTTCTTCTCCTAGCATGCCCCTTGCTATTGTATTCAGCAAGGCTGATTTTTCTAGGGGGAACATGATGTGCTGTTAGAGTTCTTGGAGGTCTTCTTGTGAATAAATTCCGCTTGATGCTAATGAATTTATTTCTTTGTATTCCCAAAATATTCGTATTAGGTTTTAGGATTCCTGGGTTCTGTGCTTTCCTCGGTGTTGGTGTTAGTGCTATCAAATTGTTGCTCAATTTGTAATATTGTTGAATAATTGTTTTTAATTGTGTTTTTGGTGTTAGGAATCGTGTTTGGTTTCCAGAGGTGACTGGTAACTGAGTGTAGCACTTATCCGTGTGAAGTAGTTGTACTTCTTTTGGCGTGCATTTTATGATATGTACCACCTCTCCTGCAATCCCAGCGATATATCCTGGTTGTTCCATACGCAAATTCGTCTGGTGAAATCGAGGCTATGGATTAATACTATTAATGGCTAGGGAATTATAGATTGTTCTTCTCTCTAGTTTGCATTTTTCGCTTAAAATATCCAGATATAAGTTTTGTATTTGAGCCCTGAAGTGTTTTTCTACGTATAGGAATTTTGAGTTAGTGTATGTGAGAATGTCTAAGTTTAATATTTCTTTTGACGGTTGTGCGTCATTATCGAATAATATGTTGTTTTGTGTTCTTTCGTATATGATTAGTTTTGGGTGTTCGGTTTTTGTTAGTATTCTATTACAACTTTTGATGTCTCCTTTCGCTGCTAGTGCGAATGAGATATCGGTTGTTTCTATTGTGTATAATGTTTCGCGATTGTTGGATGTTATTTTTGTTACCGGACCTCGGTATAATACGTCGTATTTAGTTTTAAGACAAGCTTCTCTCGGTAATGTTGGCCAGAAGGTGCGTCCTCCTTCCATGTCGATACAATGTTCGTCCGAAAATTTATAAACTGTTCCCGATGTTAAGCGTAATTTATCGTTATTAAGGCTAACTTGCGCAGTGTATTCTATTAGTGTAATTTTTATTAGGCCCTGTACATATACTTAATTCCATGTTCCGTAGTTATCGGAATAGAACACTCTGTACATGAGCTCTCTATTGCGTTTCCTGCAAGGCTTATTCCTACGGATTTTGTGGAATTTACTTTTAAATTCGCGATTGTGAGTAGTTGTTATATGCGGATTCTAAATCACTGGCGTTAGCATTTTTTTTGCTGACTCAGCAGTAATTTGACACCGTCAGCAGAAATGATAACCCCCCACCCTGACAACCTCCACCCCTCTTCCCACCCCATGACCTTGAACTGAAATTTGACACCCTCACCCCACCCTATGACAACCCCCCACCCCATGACCTTGAACTGAAATTTAACACCACCGTCAGCAGAAATATGACACCCTACCCCCACCCGCTTCTTTATTTGTCATTCAAGGTCAAGGTCTGTAGCGAGCTTCTTTATTTGTCATTCAAGGACAGATGTGTTCCAGAAATCTACCTAAAGATATTCAAGAATAAGTTCAATAATGGCAGTACGATATATTCTGTTAATTTATCCTATTGAAACTCCTATTGACAGCGTAGCTAATAGAAAATCTATATGGTCCGTGTCATTAAAATCACTGAAACCACCTATAAGAACTACACCCGCTCGAGGACTACACTTAATTTAACAGAGATTCTACTCGAAATCGAATCTATCCGCAGACCTAAATTGATTTTCGAACGGTGTTCGTGCGCAACGTAAGCGCGCATGTACCAATATGTAACCCTTTCTGACCCCGTTTCTTCGCCACGAGCCAACACGCCGGATCCAATTAGCATTCGCGAGATATTGTCAGTTTCCCAGTTATATTTAAGCAGCCTCGAAGTGCAAGTTTCGTTGCACAGCTGCCTTTACAGAACCTTTGACAAATGCGTTTCGATTTCCAACTACAGAATGAGAGTTGATTACGTTTGAATCGGTAAGGTTAAAAGCGAGCATTGAAGCATCGACGATTAGTAAAGCGCTTTGTACGATTTCCGAAACACGCAACGAACATTATTCCGTTCGATGTCCTTTGGATTGAACGGTACCGAGTGGCGCGTGCATCGATGCCGCGTAAGCAGTATTGATCGAGCAGGTGCATTATGGTGCTGGCCCCGCAGAAGATGGCGGAGAATACGGGCTTGCGGAGATCGTGGATAGACAACGCTAAAATCTACTATCTGGCTATAAATGAAACGCTCGATCCTTATTTATTTTGCCTTCATTGGATTTTCAGCTGGATCGATCGACGCATTCATACTCATCGGAGATAATTAGGATTTTTTCTGGGGTAGGCCAAGTATCTTAGAAATTTTAAAATTATTAAATTTTGGGATCTTAGAATCTTTGAATTTTAGAGATATGAAATATAAAAATTTTTAATTTTGATTTTTAGAATCTAGGGAATTTTTGAACCCGGGGAATTCAGAAATTCCCTAGACATCTCAAGAAACATTATTTTCCTCTCTTACGATTTCTTTAAATCCCTTCGCCTCTTTGGTAAGGCTACATCTACTCAAATGTAGTAATATACCATATATAGCTCAATACATTCTTTTTTAAACGTAAATGCAGCTAATGTGTCGACTCTATCTCATATTTCTTGCCATTTGTATGCCCCTTTAATCTCGTAATGCGTTCCGCCTAATTGCACGTAATTGGCTGCCAATAACGGTAGGCTTGCGTGGCATCGAAATCAGAAGCAAGGCTGTTTATTAAATTGCACATGGAATCCATTATCTCGATGAACGTCGATCGAGCAGGCTAGCTGGTCGGCCAAGTATTCTACTCTTCCGTAGCTTATATCATCCCCGAATATAGCCGTGGTGTTCTACTGTTCTCCGTTGAAACAGGGTATATACTTCACTTTCGGAACTATGCCTATTAATACCTTTGGCTACGGGATCCAGCTGACCGCACGAGATCAGAGAGAACGAACGAGAAGTTGAGGGATTGGCGACCAACCGTAAAACGCCGATAGTTGAAGCAGACTTGCTTGATCGTTCGATGACTGTGCGGAGGGATACAGCAACTGTTAGCGAAGAAGGAAATGCTCGTGTTCGTTATCTACAGTGTACCGGGTGCTAAATCAAGTGCTCACTGAAGGACTCATGGAGAAAATTTATGAATTATCAACATTTCAAATTGTCAGAAGTTCAGAAATTTGGAGAAATATCAAATTTTCGAATTAAAAAATTAATCACCCATCGATGCCCAAGAGTGTGCATCAATAAAGAATGACTAAACACTTGAAATTCATTATTGCATTTAAAAATTTTATTGCAACTTAAAGTATTGCACATCAAATCGAATATGATAAATGCTGAGGAGTTCCCTCAGCACTTCCTGAGAACTTCCTGGCGAAGCCAGAAATTACAATTTTGGTCTGTGTCCATTGATCAAACGAGCGTCGTCATGAATTGTTGATTCAGTACTAGCACACCATACTTAGATGGTAACTTCAACACCAACTCGGACCACACCATGAAGCAATGAGGTGACCAGTTGTACTCCCTCTGTAAGTATGGCGGTCTTCAAGATGCGCAATGGACTGTTCGCGGCCAAGGTGTAGTACGTGTTTAAGATGGTGTAAGCCAAATCGGATAGAGCCTTGGTAGGGTTGACGGCGTGGATAGCCTTGATGGTGGCATCTTGGATAGCGGTTGGTATGTCAGCTGTACCATTCAGGCGAGTCAGCAGACGAGCCCTGGCCTGTCCGATTCTTTCCCTTAGGCCAACAATGGGGGGCAACTGACGCAGGCTAGGCAGCTTAGGCACTTTGGTGACGAAAGTGACATTGGTGAAGTTAACTTGCGACAGCCATGATTTCAAGTTAGGGAGACCGCCGAAGTCTAAAATGGCGGTGTGATCTTTTGCATCCATGAGTTTTTCCACTTGTTTCTGGATGTCGTTTCTCGAATTCGTTGACGACGAGGCACTACTAGAAGCTGAGGCTGAAATTGCGTCTGCGGCTGCGGCTGCGGCTGCAGCAGCTGCGATTCTGGCTGAAGCGGCTGCGGCTGAAGCGACTGCGGCCTCGGCTTCGGCTGCAGCGGCTGCGACTCTGGCTGAAGCGGCTGCGGCTGAAGTGGCTGCGGCTGAAGCGGCTGCGATTGCGGCTGAAGTGGCTGCGGCTTCGGCTGAAGCGGCTGCGGATTCGGCTGAAGTGGCTACGGATTCGGCACTGGTAGAGTTACTAGAAGAGTTACTGGTAGAGTTACTGGAAGAGTTACTGGAAGTACTATTAGAGGAGCTACTAGAAGAACCACTCTCAGATGATGTGCTAGAAGAGTTAGACGCTGGAGTTCCACTCTCAGATGATCCACCAGATGATGGGTTAGAAGAGTTAGACGCTGGAGCTCCACTCTCAACGTCCCTCCTGAATTTCTGAAAATAAATTTGTTGTATTATTTACACGATAAAAGGGGCATTGAAAAGGGAGTGTACAGTGCTGATCAACTGTATTGTTTTGGGATAATTCTGGTTACATTACTTATCTTGTATAGGATACTAGTACAGAATTTTGTGTTCAGGCGTGATGATAAAATATTTAAAAATCATGCAATCACCCAAATTAATGCAGCGTACTTTGTAGTAAGTTAATAGGGTTCAAGAACTGTCTACTCCTTCCAAGGAGTATTATAATTGGAACAAGATTCACAATGTAATAATTTTCTAGACACTTAATGTCACTAGTAGAGCTAGGGAACCTGTAAAATTTCCTACGGGACTTGGGAAATCCCCTAGGGAAGCTATAGAATTCCTTGAGCGGCCTATAAAATTCTCCCCAGGTCTATAAAAGTCCCTAAGGGACTTGTGAAATTCCCTAAACCTAAGGGTTTAGTACCCTTGGGGCTATAAAATTCCCTGGGGAACTTATAAAATTCTAATCACATTTTATTAAAATACTATATACATATATTTCACAGATATTTTCTTCAACTACGAAATATGCAATTTTTACGAAGTTTGCAAGACAAGGTATAGTGATATATTCAAAAAGTAGTAACTTACAGGAGAAGCGACAAGAGCGTAGGTCGCTCCAACAATGGCGAGGAAGACGATGAGTTTCGCAGACATGATCACTTTTCAACTCCGTACTTTGGTACTGACAGTCGGGTATCCTCGAACAGTCGGGTATTTATACGAAACCGATGAATGACACCCGGAAACGAATAAAAAGCGAAGACAATGTAGTGCAGCTGTGTTTGTAATTATTGCATAATTAAGTGTCATTTCATAACTGATGGTTACTTATTCTAATTTACATTTAGCATTGTAACAAATTGTGAAAACATACACAACTTCTTATTCTTTTTTCTTCAAAAACAATACAATTCTGCGTTAACAATGTTTCTACTGAAATTATAATACATTGTGACGCAATATTAAATTATTATGAATTTCGCACGCGTTATCGCTTGAAAGGATATTTAGCATTCACAGACGACATTATTGACATAGTAAATGTTTTGTAAGTTTGGGTCACTATTGACCCAATTTGTAAAAAGATATAAATATCTTATATCTTTTGATATAAGTATCGCACTATATATTTTATAATAACTGTGCCATATTTTGAAAGCTCCAATTGAAAGCTCCAGTATTGCAATTGATTCCTCTTCAGTCACCGAAATGCACTCAAATCTTAGGCAGCCAATCAGTGGACGCGTTACCAATAATCTTCAACGATACCTCTGAATCCAGCGAACAGAGCATGTTGTGCGTCGCTTTCGTCAGAGCGAATCGACAGATCAGAGGCATTGCGTCGAGAACCGTCCTCCGGCATCGATGTATGTCGGAATGCGACGGTGAACGCGGTCCCTCATCACTCTGACTGATTAATTCATTGCTCGGCAGAGGGGTGCGAGGGGATGACACGAGAGATGGACAACTCATACACGCGAACGCACGTGCGTAAAGGGTAGAGAATGTTTGGTGCATGGTAACGGACCGGTCGGACGTTTTGATTCAATGCTGCCTGAACACATTGACTAAATGACTTAAAATTAAAACGGATAGTGCAGCAGATGCGGCAGTCGAGGCTCAATCGAGAGATGCGAGCCTGTCTGCGAATATTGCTCGACTTTCAACCAGTGTACTTGGTTAATTGACCGAATTTTTTGAAATAGAACCGACCCCATTTTAAGTTCTATCTATCTTTTTAGAATGCCCGATAGAATAATGGCGATTGAGCGTGACGTGTGTTATATGCAACGACGTTGCATAAAATCATTTTAAGAGATTGAATTTCGTGGCTTGTAGAGTTAACAGTAATTGATTGGGATTTTTAGAGAATTTCCTTTTTCAATGTGCAGAATACTTTGTAGATTTTGTACATCTACAATATCGAGCGCTGTTGCTTTTCCTGGGAAAAATGGCACTCTAGGGGAAAATTCGTGTGTAAACATTTTTTAAGGAAAATTTCATTTCGAAATTTTTTAGGCTTTTTAAGATATAAAAATTTTGAAACCTGCAATTTGGCATTTTTAAATCTAAATTTTGAAATTTGAATTTTTAAGCTTTAAGAATTTAAAATTTTAAATATATAATTCTTTTGATTTTGGAAACCTAAAGCTTGAAGTTTATTCATATTGTCTAGTAACATTTCTATACCGCCATTTTCCTTAAGAAAGGACTATACTACCTCGTTGGTGCATAGCGTGGCACACAAGTGGTGGGTGGAATCTCGTGCAAGAGACATCAATAGAAACGGAAAAGAAAACGAGAAGCATCGTCGAGAGACAAATCGAACGTGGACATTCCTATTGTACGTAGGAATGATCAATCCGTAACCATCCCGTTGCCTCTCAAGGCGCACTCTCAACTCCTTTTCTTTTCCAGTATTCTGCTCGATATCTAGCGCCTGTCTTCCGTTAGGAAAGATCCCATCTGCCAGAATCGTGGTGACCTATTTCTACTCTCGAGTCATGCGATATCACCCAACTGATTTGTACAGTCGAAAAGTAGCTCTGTTACCAGTGAATCTAAACTCTTGATCGTACCTTAACACGACTCGCTTTTGCTTCTGATAGTCTATCGAATACATAGAAAATTCCTTTCTAAAAATCGCTTGTGACATAAAGAATTACTGAAACCGAAAAGCCGCGATGTAAATTCCCATCGTTTTCCCTGCTAGCTGAAAATTTTGCGGCTCGGTTGAGCCGCCTTTTAAAACATGCACGTTCGATTTGCACAGTGAACCTTTGAACCGACTATCCCCAAAGGCGATCGTCGATGCATGGAACACCCGGAAGCGGGTTACAGCTTGCCATCGACGCGTCGACAGGCGACGAATCTCGGCCACGAGGTTATTAAACCGACCAGCTATCCCTCTATATCCTATACACGCTGAGTTGCCACGATTCGATTATTCGATCGAAAGACCTTTTACTTACAAAAATGACCCCATTAAACCGGGAATCACGTCTCTTTTGTTTATTTTCCAGCTCCTCTCAGTCCCCACCCCATGACCTTGAACTATTTGTTCTTATCGGAAGACGACACAAGACCCTGCACACTTTTTTTCTACGTCTTGGAAATGATTTTTTCTTGGAAATGACACCACCAGCAGATATATGACACCCTACCCCCACCCTCCATGACCTTGAACTATTTACGACACAAGACCCTGCACACTTTTTTCTACATCTTGGAAATGATTTTTTCTACGTCTTGGAAATGAGGTTTTTTGTTGACGCAGCAAATCTGACGCTGCAATTCGGGACTATAGAAGGTAAGGGGTTTGCTAAAGTTCGAATCACACGCAAAACCGTAGTGACCATCGCCGCAAGTGCATCGTTTTGCGAGATTGTATTGTGAAAAGTGAAATATGTATTCTCAAAATTTCAGAGTTTTTTTGCCAAAGGAAACGCCCCGCAAGTTCTACTCAAGAAGAAGAGGCGCGCAAAAAAACGACAAGACATCAGGATGATGTGAAGTAAGTGTTCGAAACACATTTCATTTAACGCTGTCGGTATTTATTTGTTCTAATAACATACTTAAACGGTATTTATTTGTTCTAGAAGCGCACCTCAATTATCAAGTCGAATTTTGGGTCGAAAGTATCCATTGACGGATTCCTGTACGAAGCATTTGGAAACCGGCATAAATATACTTGGCGACAATTTCTACCCACAACTCGTATTATCAGATGTCCGAAACAACCGCCTGGAGCTGACAATAGTCACGTGGTCGCTGATTCTAGCCGAAGCAGACAATGTATGCAGCTTCTTTGACGATTCAAAAGATACACACGACAATATTAACTTTAACGATATAAGTGTTGAATTTGGAGTGCTGTATGGCGAAAAAGTAATTAAATTGATTAGCAAAGATATATGTATGTGCATGATGAGGAAAACGTTTGAGAAAATGGTAATTTTAAATGATTGCATAATTGAAATGCATAATGCATTATATGATAAACTGTATTCGGTGGAACAAAAATTTAAAGAGTTTGAAGCATTAGTTCGGGAATACGGAGATGTAAAAGTGCTTGCAGAGGTTGTGCAGCATATCAAAGAAAATGATATTTATAATCCAAATTTAATTATCGACTGCAAATTAGTAGGTTTAGGTATTCAGGCAATAATAACAGCTGCGTCAACAGCATCTTAACAGAGAAAAAAAGGATTACGTTCTCAACTTCTCTCTCTATCTATATAAACCCAAACATCGCAGGAAAAAATTTCACTTCCTATACGATAGTCGTACAATGTGCATATGCACATTTGATCTTCGAATTAGCAAAAAAAGAATTCGCACCAGATTGGAAAATACTTTTGCCTGCGCGCGTTGCTGGAATGTTGTTAGCCAAAGAGTTAGCCAACGAAGAAAGTAATGGCACCGCGGAAAAGTAACAAGAAGAAGACGTTCGCGCAAACTTCCAGTTGCAAAACGTGGGGGATTTCTTTCAGCACTTGTACCTATTTGTGCAGGCCTTTCAGCTTTGGGTACGGTGGCTGGCGGTGCAGCAAGTATCGCCAAGGCAATCAACGATGCATCAGCAGCACGGAAAACATTGGAGGAAGTGAAACGGAACAATCGTGTTATGGAAGGACATGGACTTTATCTTGCAGCATATAAACGGAGAAAAGGAATTAAAGAAAAAAAAGAAGCGCTTCGGCAAGTTGTAACGCTTCCACAGGGCGCAATGACAAATGTATAGTTATATAACTTTGCACGAAAGTTGAACTTTCCATATTTTCGAGGTGTTTTCATGCGTACAAATTTACCCTCTAAATCGTTCTTAAATGAATGCGGTATCGTGAATTTAGATAAATCGGAAGGTCCTGGTACACACTGGGTAGCTTACGTAAAGCGGAGTAATCGTGTTAAATATTTCGATTCTTTTGGAAATCTGAGACTACCGACAGAGTTAATAAACTACTTCGGAAACCATGTAACGATTTTATACAATCACACGTAGTATCAAAAATTCGATACGAGTGTATGCGGACAACTCTGCTTGCACTTTTTAGCTGGAAATGTATAAAATAGTTTCGATGCACATAGTCTTCACGGTTGCAAAGATGTCGTTGACGTTTACGTTAAGCGGAAAAAGTTCTGTGCTTAGCACTGATTACTTTCCACCTATAGACTTGAAGGATGATAATTATGAACTCGGACTCGTTGATTTTCAAGTTTTCAACACAATACCAAACGTTGACTTTACAAACAATAAATTTTACTTTGATGCCAATGGTGAGATCACGATACCGGATGGTTCGTACGAACTCGATGCGCTAAATAAATACTTGCAAGAGAAAATAATGGACAAGACAAAAATCATTTTATTTCGTACAAATAACAGCACTTTGAAAAGTGAAATACATAGTGATTATACAATCGATTTTACCAAACCAAATAACATAGGATCGCTTCTCGGGTTTTCTACATATCGCATATTACAGCCGGAACAATGGCACGAGTCGGATAAGCCCGTAAATATTATGAAAGTAAATGTGCTGAGGATCGAATGTAATATTACGACTGGCGCGTATAGCAACGGTCAATGTGTTCATACCATTCATGAGTTTTCATCGCGCGTGCCACTAGGATATAAAATTTCGGAAAGTCCTACGAACGTCATTTATCTTCCAGTTATCGTGAAAGCCATTGATCACCTTAGTATA